GTTTCTGTGTTTAGTGTATATTAAAAAAATCTGTTTTTTTCAAATTTTTGTAACAAATACGTATTTAGAATCTACATGTGTTTGTGCATTTTCCAAATTGTGGGTTTATGTCATCCTCCATTCAGGTCAAGGGAGGAATTTAAGCATGTGCTTAAGCAGTGGAAGAAGTATTCACATCTTTGACTTAAGTAAGTGTGAACAGGGGACGAAATTAGCACCTGTCCCCTGCCAAATACAGGGTAAATGTTGGCTGTGGCAGGTAAAAATTTCAGGTCATTTGCCACCATGACAGACCTGATTTTTCTTATATTAATAAATATTATTTTTTTTAAAGTAAGTCTTAAGTCAAGAGTAGTCATGGATTAAGGTTACATGATATATTCCATATTTCTACTGTCAGGTACCACAGACAGAGTGTTATACATAGATTTTAGAAGTAGCAGATTAAAAAAAAAAAAAAAAAGAAGAACAAAAAGAACCTGCCACAGTGGCACATGAGAACTCTGTCACAAGTAACTCTGCATTCAAGATTTTTATTAAGTAACAGTACAACAGTATTATTATCTGCAACATGTGGTATGATATTTCAGTTTTGGTTAATTTGGTGACACATGTGGTTACTTGTGGTAACGCTAGAAAAGTCTTATTACAAATCCCATAGTTCCATTCGAAATGAAACATTTATCGATAACGGCAGGCAGGAACTAGTTTTGAGCAGCTACTCAGAAAGAAAGAAGAGGAGAGGAGAGAGAAACAGAAAGAGGGGAGCTTATGCAGCTTGTGATCTTTATACGTTGTCCTAACACAACCATGTTTGCTCTTAAAAATGCCTGTGACCTACTCTTCCCCTCAGATTACAGCATAACCTGACAAATACGGGCAGAAATTGCATGCAATGAGCAAAGTTCGTCCAGTATGTGCATGAGTTGTTCCCGCCACTTGAATCTAGTGCGGGAATGGCGGACTCAACAGCAGTGACAATACAAACTAATATATATAGAGGAAACTAATGAGTGTAATTACATTTATTAACTAAAGCAGAAGAAATGCCTGCCAAAAGTAGTATCCACAATTTAATTTGATATTATGAAAATGTTTAAGGTTTATAATGTCAAAGGGGTACTCCAGCAATTTAAATTTTACTTTCATAAGTTGGGGAGAAAATGACATCAGGGACCTTCAGGAATGTCTGTCCAAATCCAGAGAAGAAATTATACAACCATTAACTTCATTTAATAATAATTATAATAATGCTACTTTAAAGTATCAAAAATAAAAGTACTCAATATGCAGAATTACCCTTTCAGAGTATTATCATATATATAGTATTATAATATTACAGATGCATCCACATGTAAGCAGCAGCTCAATGCTGAAGAGTGGAGCTAATTTAACTACATTTTACATAAGGTAGTTTAATCTACAACAATGTGTCACATCCTTTTTGTTGATCAAACACATGCCTTTTATGTCAAATCTGTAAAATTATAACAACAGCAGAGAAATACATGGGAAACAAAGGATATAATATTCCCCACTGAAATGTAGAAAAGTAGAAGCATAAAGTAAAATAGAAGCTTAGTTAACATTCTATCATTGGCTTGTGGCTAATGACGAAAGGGTTTTGCTAGAGTGAACGGCAGAAAAAAACATAATGTGTACGCATAAGTACACAGTTAAACACCTGCACTTAACTTCCTGTGACAGCCTCCTTCTCGTCCTTGCATCACACTGCCGACTTCGAGCGCTTTTGAAACATCATGTGCACGCACATTGCGCCCAGAGGCGCCGAACTGAGAAACAGGAGTTATCAATAACAGAACGGTCAATAACCGTGTTATTTATATATCTCTAGATGTCCTCGGGCTGGAGGAATCTTTTAACTTCATTTTGCAGAGCAACTTAATGCAGTGAATGTTAATGAATGATTCAACATAATAAGAAAGCTACTCTGGGAATTGGTGTGGTGTGTCAGAATCTGGAAGTATTTAATTACTGATTCACATTGATGTCTACATGTTTTGTATTCATACTGTTCTGTAGTCTGAGTGTCATATGTGGCAAAGACAATGCTGTTAATTGTGTAATACAGGCATATTTCACTAACTATGAATTATGTATGTTCATGCTGATGATATGCTAATGATGATAATAGCCTACGTCCATTTCCTGTTGCACTGGTGAATTACATATGCATGTTCGCCAACTTGCAAGGTAGCTCACACGCTTAAGTTGTTATAAAGGTGAAACAGGGCAAGATGGAGACGTTGGAATTTCCTCACAGAGAGGAAGAAACTACTATGTGTCACGTTTTCTCCCCACACGAGGTGTTAGGGAGTTTGCATTTCAAGAGGAGTGTGAGGATGGAAGAAAAGCTAATCAGAAAGTGGTGTTTTTTTCTTAATCCCAGCTCTGCTGAGGCGCCTTTTCTCCTGAAGAAAAATCTGTGTTTCTTTCACACTGCCTCTGCAATCACTTGAAACCCCATTACAGACCATGTGACAGCATCAATTAAATTCACAATTATCATGGGGCAGAGACACTCCAGCGTGAGAAAATATAGTAACACAGTATCGTCTGCGAGTCTGTGTGCGCGCGGGAGTGAATATGTGCATGTATGTGTTTGTGTATGTGTATGTGTGAGAGAGAGAGAGAGTTGATAGAGAGCAGAAAATTGAGTCAGACAATTCACTACTCAGAATGTTTCTTGCCCTTTTTGGCAACTCTTGTGAACCTGAACTCTCCAACAACAAGATACCACAGTAAACAAAAACTCAGATCTTTGACAGTATTAAGACATTTCAAGGGCCACTCCAACAACAGTGAATTGACAGCTGGGAACTCATCGACTGCTTCTTTTAGATTTAATACTAAGTGAGCTGTTTGAATTTGAAATCAGAGAAAGGGATGAATATGAATATCCATGCAAAATTACACCTGGTGCTGTCACTGTGTCCACAAAGTTAGCCCCTAATCCATTATCAGTTTAGCTGCAGAGCCTTTGTCTCCCATTGACATCGCAGATTAGAGACTTGGCTCTTGTTTCCAGCTTTAGTAGAGATTTATCCAGACCAAACTGTTTGAGATCACATGAAAAAAAACAGCATGAATCAGAGTTATAGGGCAGATTTTGAGAGAGCGCCCACAATTAAATACAGAATCACACCTTTAGATGTACATGGTTTGTGTGTCTGAGTGTGTGCGCGAACACGGTGTAGCTGACTAAGATGCACGCACGTTGTGAGTCACAGTCAACTGTGTTTGCAGCTGATTGGGCCTGAATTAGGTGTTGGATCTGGCAGGTGGAGTTGTTCTGGCCTGTATAGTCAATTTCTTCACACTCTCCATCAAATCTTTCTCCATTAAAGCACAATCAGGTCCCTGATAGGGGAAAAACAAGGCAGTGTGTCTACATTGATCTCTCTACCTATAGTGCCTTCCTACACTGGAGCAGAGCAGGAGATTAAAAATTCATAAGCGTATTAAGATCTATAAGAGCATTATTCATGTGTGCCGTCACTGTCTAATACAGTAGGGTACTAATCATCCACATTTCTAGCCCCGCACACACACACAAGCAAACACACAGTCACAATAACATTCTGGGTGTACTCCAAGTGTCAGTGCTATCATATGGGCATGTGTGTGTGGCCTGGCGTTGTTCCCTCCTTGAGTGCCATACAATGTGCTGGCATAAATACCTGCTTGACACAGCAGATTGGCACTAATGGCTTTACACGTGGTGCCATCTGTAAGCTGGACTGCTCTTGCATCTTCTCCATGGCCACTAATGGCGTTTCATAGCATTTGGTTCAGACCATCATCAGTCATAATGCAAAGACAAAAACAGCCAAATTAAATGTTGGCTAATCGTAGACACACACAGGGAGGCTATATGTAAAGGTTGAAGGGTGCACACAGATGGGTATCTGTGTGCACCTGGATATTAACATCTAAAAGCACAAAGCAATTTGTCTATCGAGTGTGAGACACCTCCCACTGAGCTGGAGCTCTTAACCACCAGCTCAACTTCTCACTCACACATACACACACCAACTTCTAACTCTGTGGCTTCCAACAGCCTGCAGCAGTCACACAGGGATCATTACTATTCATTTGCTCAGCAAACTGGCCACACAGGCTTATAAATTAGCTCATCTACTGCAGCTGGGTACTGAGACAGTTGGCGCATGCTGAGGACTGAGAGCGCAGCCATTACAGTGCAGGGCTCCGAGACACCTTCTGTCCAGTCCATGTGACCTCCTCCATGCTCATCTGTTCACTCTTTCAAAGGAGGTGGGAGTGTGTGTCAGGCGCTGGGGGTGAGACATGCCCTGTCAATGATTCTAATAAATTACAGAGCAGAGAAATAGGACTACAGACCGGTGTGTGTTGTACTGACGGACAACGCTGTGATAAATCCTGTTAAACCAAGTGTAAATCAGCCCGAATGAAATAGCATTAGTGGGACCTTGCAGACCTCTGACCATGAGGGAGGAGAACTGACAGGTCTGACCTACAGGGAAATGAGGGAACACTCGGACTACTCTTGCTTTCTGCCTTGGGGTGAGGATCAATGGTGGAAGGAAAAAGTAAAGCTATTAATTCTCCTGGATATGTCAATTCCCATTGGCTGGTGCAGATTGGTAGTGATCATGGCTAGCCCCTTGGGCAGACGGGATCTGGGGCTTTTGTTGCGCCTCAGTACACCATTGATTAATTGAAGGTTTTACGGCTATCTGGAAGGCACCACATTGCTCTGGAGCAATGTAAATCAATTCCAGTTGTAGGTTTATAACAATGCACAAAAAAACTAGGAGCGTGGCTGTGGGATTAAATTATGCTAGCCCCTTCTTGAATAAGATGGTACCTGAGAGATGGACCTGAGGTTAAATAAGCCATGTAAGAGACTTGTAACGGTATCTCAAATATTCATCAAACATTCATAAAATAGTTCATAGTCCTTGTAAATGATGAATGAAGTTTTTCTTTTTCCTTACCCGTCCGATGAGCACAGGTTCTGGTCCAGCATATTCTTCAATCACAAAGAACTGATTCCAGATCCAGCTCCTCCTGCTGCGAGAGCGCGACCCCTTCTTTTCCATTCGGTCATTCACCTCCTCTTCCACGTCTGACTCTGCTTCTTCAAACACAAGGCCCTTCCCATTTTCTGGATCGACAGCTTGCATCCCAGCGTCTTTTGTATCATGGCTCCATGCGGGAGCTGGGTGGAGCCTCAGGACATGACTGCTGTTGACAAGTTTGTTGTCTTCATCTACAGGGTACTGAGCTGTGCTGACTTCTGTTTGAGCAGTGTGAACTGACTCTGTTAATGGGTCTCTATGGGAATCTGCTGCTCTGTTCCCCAGTCTTACTCCCAGGGGTTGCATTGTCAGCACAGACGGTGGAGAATCATTTGTTTCAGAGGGAACATCCAGTGGGAAATGTTTTGTCGATGTAAATGGTGGTTCTGTTTGGCTTATTATTACTTCCTTCTCGGGGCTGAGGCTGACCTCACTGAGAGGTGTTGACAGTAAACGGATGAGGTGTTTGCTCTTGCTATCGCCACTTTCTGAACTCTGCATTCCCAGGTTGCCCTGCCCTTTACTTAAAGCTGGGTTGACATCAATTAGTGGATTAACACGAGTGTTGGCGCCCTGGTCTCGATTAAGATCTGTAGTGGTGACTTGGCTTACATATGGAAATGCAGTCTGATTATCAAATCCAGTGTGAAACTGAGTGACAGCCATATCTTGTCTGGGCCCTTTCTGAGCCTCTAACTGTCCGTGATTAACGTCAATCAAATCTCTCTTCCTGCTCCGGCTGCCCTTGCTTGGAAAGCTCATGCTGGGAACACTCTGCATTTGGGAATTGACGATCCGGACTAGGTTCTCTTTCGACAGCAGCTTCAAAACTCCATAACTGCCAGTGAGGTTCAGCTTTCGGTTTGAATCTATGCTGAATCCTTTTCCTGGCACACCAGTAGTATGGACATTCAAATCAGGTCTACTCCTGGACCTAGATCCTGATTTAAACCTAGTTTTATTTGTGTGAAGATCTGGTTTATGATGGACTGTGAAAGTTTTCTCCGACCTTCCTGTTTTAGTAGAAGTCTCGGCATTCTTGGTGTTGTTCTTAACTTTCTTCACATCCTGGTTTAACTCCTTGTTATTGGCTAATATGTGTGGAGTTATTTCTTTTTTATTGACAGAGTCAACCTCTCGCTTGGGCTTGAAAGCTTTCCTCTCTTTGTTAGCTACTGATGGAGCAGCATGAGTCTGCAATATTTTGGAATAAGAAAAAGATCCAGTGTCACCCGCCTGCTCATGACTAATCAGGTTTCTAAGAGTCACCATGGGCATTGCATTCGCATCCACGCTTGCATCCCATTGTTCCGCAGCTCTGCTGTCCCCTAGCTTCACTATATGCGATCCGCCTACTCCTCTCCTCCGTACAGTCTTACTGGCACCTCCTGCAAGCCCCTCCCACAGACAGAGGGAAACCAACAGGAGCAGATTTCTTGTAATCATCTTGTCTTGGGGCGAGATGTCCTAATTTGAGCGAGGTTTGCTGTGAGGCAGTCCTTGTTTTCCGGTTGTCTTCATTCTCTCTTCTGTTTTCCCTCCTTTCATGCCCCTCCTCTCACTCTCCCATTCTTTGCCCTTCACACTGAGCTGGAGGGCAGGTGTCAGTCACTCACTTCTCCCTTCTTCCTTTTTCTCTCCACGCGCCTAATATCTTCCTCTATCTCACCAAGCCTCTCTCTGCTGGGTTTTGCCCACTCCTCTTGTGAAGCGTCTCATTCAGTTTCCTACGGAGGGTTGAACACCCTGAGAGAAAAGATAAAGATAATTAAGTTAAAACTTTAATCATTGCACTGCGTTAATTAAAAGTGGAGCAGCATAGACAGGTAGGAGAACTCAGACAGGCAGGCAGGACAGACCTTTTAACAGAACAGCAATCACATTTTCACAAGCACAGAGGGCTTTTTAGGCCCAGAACACACATCCATTTATACCTTCATAATGACCCACGTGTTTTTACTCACATCTATTAGAAAGACAGGGACAAAGTTATCATCATACTATTCTACATGGAAAAAGATAGGATAACACTATTAGAAAACGCTCTGAGCATTTACTAATGGGAATGACTGTCAAGGATTTCTGACTGCAGTGCAAAAAGGACCAGCTACGATATGAAACTAGCTTCATATCACTTTGATGTGTGATTAATTAGCTGGATTAATATTGTGCTTTGATCAGTCAGTTAGAATGTCAATACAGATGCAAGCTGTAGATGCAGATGCACTTTGTTGTACACAGCGCCTTGAGCAATGTAAGTGGTTCCTCGGCTCTCACGCATCTGACTCACAGAGCTCTCAGTGTGTCTCTCATGCACTCAAGCCTCAATTGGAAATCCTACGCCAAATCAAAATGTCAGATATCAGTCACTGTGTTTTTTTTAAGATAAGAACTGGCACATAGTAGTAGTATTTTAGCAGTATAAGCATCTGAATAGTGAATAGTGTGACTATTTGCACTAAGATTGCATTAATATGATTATTAATGCAATGTGTGCAGAAAAAGACTGATATGGATGTGTAATTCAGGAAACTCAAATTTACATGGGGTACTCCGGTGATTTGCCATTGTGCTTCCACACTGTTGGAGGACTCACAAGAGATAGATTTCAGATTCATCAAAATCAAAGCAGCAGAGACTATTATATCCTGACTTTTAGTCCGTAGTATTGGTCAAGATTCAAATACAAATTTCCCATAAATCAACTCAATTGAAAGTTTATAAAGCTCCCTTCAGACCAACAGAACACAATGCAATTGTTTTTACAGGTTGAATAGTATTCTTCATGGTAAGTAAGCTGAACTTCATGTGTAAAATATGTCCTGTGTCCCTTTAAATTACAGTTTCCTGTGAACAAAACTAGTAAACTCTTTGTGAAACTGTGTATCAAGGGTTAAGTAGCGCCAGTTTCATCTTGTCCAGTGCAGCATGGTGTGGTTTGTATGGGTGTATGACACTTGCTCCACTGTGGCGCAGACAGACCCTGTCAGCACATTCACTGGGGCATGACTGAAGTTGGGAGGTTCCTCCTGGAATACTTTCCACCCTTTTCCTCTCTCTCCTCCACATCCTCAACATCCTCAACTTCTTCTCTCTCTCTCCATCTCTCTTTTTCTGAACGAACCCTTTTGATGAACAGGAAAGGAAAAAAAGATTATCCACTCCTCCCCCTCCTCCACGTTCTGTTTTCCCACCTCTCCCACTCACCACCTGTCTCTTCCTCTGCCTATCTATCTCCCTAAATCTCCCTCTATCCCCTCTCTTTAACTTGCTATTGTTTTAGTATCCTGTCCTCTCCGCTGCTCGCTCCTATCCTCTTTTCCTCTCTCTCATCTGTGTCAATCACAGGCCTGTCACTGCGTCCCTCACCCTCTGTGCACTCTGAGGCTTTAATCAATCAGCCAATCTCCTTCCTCGGCCTTGCCACATTGGAAGTGACAGGTGTCTCGCTGGCTACCATCTTGACGACAGGCTACAACACGATAATTGTGTGTATAAATCTAGTCATCAAATCATAAAATGCAGCTTACAGGATCCATCCAGTAGTTACATAAGACTGGTGGCAAAATGCTGGACAGATTTGACAGACTAAGTTATATATAAACGTCACAGAGGCCATTATGGAGGATGTGAGGCTGTTTTTGGCTGCGTGTTATCTCAAATGTACAGCATGGGGAGGCGATTGGGGTGAATTCAATGACAGAGCTCTTCTCTCTCCCAGAGGAACTTATCAGCTGGGAGTTTGATGGCCAGGCAATCATTGCTACGGGCACCTTGTTAACAAGCCTGGGGCAGGTGGCAGGATGCAGTGCAGAATATCAACATGGCACTGTCGCTAGCTGAACACAAATTTCTAACATTTTTGTGTGACATTTTGTCAATGTGAGGTTTTCTTTGCATCACTAAAGTAGGAAAAATAGTCCTTTTATTCTTCGATTCTTTTATCTTTTAAACAATTTTCAAGGCGGAAATTTCACTCAGAACAGAGTTATGGCATTTTTGTAATGTATTGATCTGTGTCACAGCCTTTCACATTGTGCTGGGCCCCTTTGAGGAGAGCTATTGTTATACCATTACCCTGGGTACATCGGCCTGTGCAGCAGTAACTGAGGATAATTGGGTGCTCCGGTTTGAAGCACAAGGGAGCTCGTATTTCCTCATTACAGTTTTATATAAAGTAATACGACAAAACTGTTGTTCTCATCCTTGTGGAACAAGCAAGCATCAGGATGTGTATGTCACCTGTAGCCTTTACATACAGTATGATACCATATAGTACCATAATTTCTAGTAGTGTAAACAAAGATAAGAGGGTAATACAGTTGGAAGCTCTTTTGCTTCCTAATTAGAGTTTTAGTAAATGTATAGTTGAAGTATATTTAAAAGGGGTTTAAAGGCATGTCATTCCAACCGTACTGTATTTCTTTGTAAGTTCTTTGCACCTACAGCAAGTTTCTCAGTGACCTGATTAATTGAGGCCATAAATATCTTAATTAATTCCACCTAACTGGTCCCATTCCAACTAAAATTCAAATTATCTCTTGGCTTGTTGGTATTGGAGGCAGATCCTCGCCATCGATTGCGAGCTGTCACCAACTTAACGAGACTGAGAATTTTAATTACGATTCACCTCCTTGCTTGCTGTCTATCTTCTTTTTGTCTCAGTAACCCTCTTGTCAAACAGGCAAACGCAGAGAAAAGTACCGCCACGGCAGAAGGACGCCCACGCGCACCGTCTCCACAACAATGAACAAACACACACATACCGTGTGACAAAACATTCTTCAGAAAAACTATTTATTTATTTATTTACTTACCCATAAAAAAACACATAAAAAATGCCTGGACTCAAAAAGCCACATTCATCCACCCTCTCAAACCATGTGTGTTCATGAAATTCATGAAGACACACATACAAAATCCTGAACACGCCACACATCCCTAAACACACACAGAAATCTTCTTCTTATATCTGTGCTGGTAAGAAAAATAAAAAAAGCTCTGGGGACTGCTTCTTTGGACGCAGTGAAGTCAAAGAGAAGAAACGGAGCGCTCCCTCGCACCAGGGGGGAAGGGGAAAAGCAGCCACCCCAAAAGAATTATGTATGGAGTAACAAAGGTGAGCTCCAGAAAAGAGTGAAATGGTTGTGAGCGTGTAGGCATGCGTGTGAGAAGAGGACAGGGGGTGTAAAAGGGGAGGCAGTACATGAGGGGCCGGGTCCTCCTTGGAAGACCAACTGGGTAGTTTCATGTGCAAATTGCATAAAGCAGCTATATGTCCTAGCCTTGAACCTCGGCAGATAAAAGCAGTACTCTTAGTGTGTGAGGAGGTGAAAAACAGCAGGAGCTTTTCGTCTGTTAATGTATGAATCCCTTCTTTACCTGTGTCCTCAGCCTTGTCTCTATTGCAGTCTTACTGGCTTACTGACAGCAGTTACTAACCTCCCTTGGGAGAGTACATAGTGTCCGCCTATGGACATAATATAATTCCCCATAAGCTGGAGGTTTGTGGAGGACGAGGTGAGGAACAACAGCAGGTAAACAATGTGACAATGACAGCTTTACAGTAAAAAACAGTGGAATGAGTTTACAGCTTTTCACGGTATAACAGCTGTGAAATTCAGTCCGCTTATGGGTGGCTGTTTGCCTGTTGGTGAGATTAAGACTAAAAAGACTCAGTTTAACAGAGCAACGGCAGGGGGCTTTGGATTTGCTTGGCTTTCAGCTAGATCAATGGGGTGACATTAAATGGCAAGAGTCAGAGGCTTGTAGAACATCCAGCAAGAACACATTTCAAATGTATAATATGTGCAGTGAAAACAGAAGACATGAGAGATGTGAGAGTTCAGGCTTGTTAAATGCCATTTTTACAAGAAGATACAGAATTGGGTGAACCAGCTATTTGTAAATTAATCCATGTTCTTAGTAAATGCTCCGTACTTGTATAGCGCCTTTCTAGTCTTTTACTAGTAACCACTAGCTATTTTCAAAACTAGTGATTTACTAAATCAGGTTACACTATTAAAAACGGATTAAAAATGTCTTAGCTAGTTAAGACTTACAGTTAGTAGTTATTTGGTCATTTAGAAATGTTATGTATAAATGTGATAAATGTGATGGAATTTCTTCCCAGTTTACATAATTTGAAACAGCAATCTATTAGGTGTCAAACTTCCACATCGTCTTGTTTCACTCAAAATGGGTCATATATTAGCAACCTAATGTAAGTTTTGTGTGTTGTTTCCTTTAGCTATGTACAGTTACACCTTGCTGAATGTAAATATTGCATAACAACAAAGTTTGTGTGGTGGATTTAAAACAGTGATATGGATAGTAAAGTTTGAATTTACAAAGAGCTGGTGCAATTGGTTCCAGCTCTACTGTGTACTGCAAATGCAAGATCCTCTGCTGCTGCTTTTTCTTAGGCTACAGTATATAAAATGTGAGAGGCGCCATAAAGATCAAATAAATCTTGACAGGAGACAGTCCAGAGAATCACAATGCCAGGAGACGTGCCAGTAGGTCAACACAGGGACAACATTTGTGGCCCATATTTTACTGCCTTGGCAAACGTTCAAGTAGACCTCAGTCTGATCTGTCTGGTCATAAGGTAAAGTGCTGGCTAAGAGTGAATATACCAACAGTGACAGCGCTGACCCACTGAAGGCCTGGGATTTACTACTAAATTCTGCTCATTATTCAGGCCTTTTAAAAATATTTAAATTATGCATGAGTAGCACAGCACA